GAAACGCTCCAGACACACAACATGGCGTGGAGTTGAAGTGCTTTGTCCTGCCAGGGATGAGGCTAATTCAGTGGGGAGTTTCCAGGCTAGCACCGTCTGAGCTTTCGGTTTCGGCAAGCTGCTGAAAAAATGTAATGTGGTGACAGTCCTTTGTGATTCTCTTGGCTCCAATAGAAACAACGGGCCTGAGCTAACACCCTCCAAGGAAGAACGTGTGCTGACATCCGGTGCCGCTGCCGTTTGGTAGACCTAGCTGGGATCGCCCTAGAAATGCAATCGCGGTTTAAAACGGAACATAAGGAACCCCCCCCCCCCCAGAACAAGCGAAATTGGGTCCGCTAGACTGCATGACCTAAGGATTCCGATTGCGTTCAGCTTCCCAGTGAATGCCGAAATTCTCTTACCCGAAGTTCAGCAAGTGGGTTCAGGGTTTAAGGTTTAGGGTTTAGGGTTCAGGGCAAGTTTAGGGTTTAGGGTTTCAGGTTCGCAAATGGACAACACACCCTAAATATACGACTCTACATGGGTACTTTGAAGTAGGGTCATAGGTAGGGTAACTATATGGCCAGAACCTTGCCTAGGGTACTTAGAACCCGACTGACAAGTAAAACCATCCCGGGCCTTCATCTAGTCACTCACCCCGACTTTCGTTGAAACCCTAAACCCTGAACCCTAAACCCTAAACCCTGAACCCTAAACGCTAAACCCTAAACCCCACAATGCTAACCACACGAACGTGCAAGCAGCGCTCTCAACCCTCACCCTACATCCTCAACCTTGCACCTTACACCCTACACCCCCACACCCCAAACCCTAAACCCTAAACCCTAAGCCCTAAACCCTAGACCCTAAACCCTAAACCCTAAACCCTAAACCCTAATTAATGAAGTCCTAAAACTTAAGCCTTACACCCTAAAGCACACCAAGGGCCTGGTGGCGTGGGTTGCTCTGCGTCCCGCGCCCGCCCAGCTTGGTCAGGTGGTGGTAGGCGGCCTGTCTTCTGGGCTTTCCGGGCTTTCTTGGCGTGTAGGGTTTAGGGTTTAGGGTTCAGGGTTCAGGGTTTAGGGTTTAGGGTTTAGGGTTTCAAGTTTCAGGCTTCGGCCGTTTAGGGTTTACCCGCCCCCCCTCCCCCTCCCCAAACCTGCCAAGAACAAACTGTCATGGGTTCACGAAGCGAGGCCGGAAGGACGTGCAGCGCAGAGAACCTGGAAAGCAGGGCTCTGCTTGAAGGGGTTTAGGGTTTAGGGTTTAGGGTCCAGGGGTATATTGCCTATGATGAGAAGGTAAACTCCACCCCCAAAACAAGCAAACACACGAACTCAGGTACTCAAAGGTAAATTGGCACCGATAAGCAGGGTTATAAAAGCGGGTACCTAACCCTGGACCCTAAGCCCAAAACCGTAAACTCTAACCCTAAACCCTAACACTGAACCCTAAATCCTAAACCCTAAGCCCTAAGCCCTGGAGTCGACGGGTCGTATTTAGGGCCATGGGAGGCTTCAACCCTCTCTCCTGCTTGGGGCACCTAGCTGTTTTTTCATAAGTATAGGTAAGGGTGTTTAGGGTTTAGGGTGTTTAGGGTGTTTAGGGTGTTTAGGGTGTTTAGGGTGTTTAGGGTGTTTAGGGTGTTTAGGGTGTTTAGGGTGTTTAGGGTGTTTAGGGTGTTTAGGGTGTTTAGGGTGTTTAGGGTTTAGGTTTTGGGGAAGGGGCAAGGTTCAGGGTTTTGACGTTCGGGTCCAAGTAAGGCTGAGGGCGCCACACGGCGCTACACTCCGAAAGGCCTACACCCTAAACCCTAAACCCTAAACCCTAAACCCTAAAGCCTAAACCCCAAACCCTGAAAATCTCAGGGCCTGGAAGCCCGCATCCAAACTAAACCTTCAAACTCTTGAGCCCTAAACCCTACAGCTAGGGTTTAGGATTTAGGGTTTAGGGTTTAGGGTTTAGGAACCTTGGCCTGTTGCCCTTAAGCAAGCTCCAGACCCCTAGACTTGATGAGTATTCTACTAGTAGAGTCATCAGTAGGGCAATATGCGCACCCCTAAACCCAAAACCATACCTAAACACGCTAAACCCTGAACACTAACCCGCAAACCCCAAACCCCCAAAACCTCTTGTCCCCATGTCGCTTCAAGTACAACTGAGATCCTAAACCCTCAACCCTCAACCCTCAACCCTCAACCCTAAACCCTAAACCCTAAACCCTAAACCCTGAACCCTGAACCCTAAACCCTAAACCCTAAGCCCTAAACCCTAAACCCTAAACCCTAAACCCTAACTGAGAGCCCGGCTCCTCGACGTTTGCCGCCCCACTTTCGCGGCATGGGCGGCCATCCTTTGGTGTGGCTCAGGTTCGACTTTGAGGGGTTTGGGGTTGCGAGGGTTTAGGGTTTAGGGTTTAGGGTTTAGGGTTTAGGGTTTAGGGTTTAGGGTGTTGCAAGACCAGGGTGTAGGGGGCGCAGGGAAATTTAGGGCTTCGGGTGTGGGGTTAGGGAAGGTTAGGGAAGGTTAGGGTTTATGTAGGATTTGTGCTAGGCCTTTAGGCATGCCTTTTGTTTGGTCTCTTGGGGGGGGGGCCTTCTTTTGGCGAGCCTTTTGGGTGGTTTTTGCAGCCTGTACGTATTCAAACCTGTACCACAATGCGTACGGGAGTCGATGGACCCTAAACCCTAAACCCTAAACCCTAAACCCTAAACCCTAAACCCTAAACCCTAAACCCTAAACCCTAAACCCTAAACCCTAAACCCTCATTCTAGGTACAAGGCCGGGGATGAGGGTCTGATAGAAACCTACTTGAATGGGTAGTTGCAAAGTACAGCTACCCTAAATTAAACCCTAAACCTTAGGATTTTCCCCCTTGTACTATAACAGTCCTTCATAGGGATTAGAGTACCCCCTATTATAATCCCTATTAAGGACTCTTTGGCATAAGGGGCAGCATCCCCACCTAGACCCCATGTGCAAGTTCCGAACTGCCTCCCTGCAACACCCTGAGAGAAGGTGAGGGCCCGATTCGAACATGTAAATGTCCAGGGATTATATAGTCAATTCTCTAAAATATGGTCCCTTTTAAACTTTTGGCCCTTAAAAGAACAGGCGGCCCCTCTTATTTAGGGCACCCAAAAAGGGACCATAATCCAGAGAACTGGCTACAGGCTAGACCGTGATTCGGGACAGCAGAAACCAACCTAACCCATGGTCGTGGTTCAAGATGTACCCTCTCAAATAACCACCAAGCATTAGGTTCCCGTTGTTTGGTATGGATTCCCCGCGCAAAGGGCTTTACAAACCATAAACCCTAAACCACCCCCCCTCACCAAAAAAACACACACGCATACATAAAAGACATTAATACTAACAATAATAATACTAATACCGAAAACTATAAAAATGATAAAAAATAATAATAATACGAATAATAAGAATAAACATAATAGTAATACTAAAAGTAAACATACTAACGATAATCATGATAATAATGATAATAATGATAATAATAATAATGATAATAATGATAATGATGATAAAAATGATAACAATGATAATAATGATAATAATGATAATCATGCTAATCATGATAACATGCAGGATAATCATGATAATCATGATAATCATGAAATCATGATAATCATGATATCATTGATACTAATCATGAATAATCATGATAATCATGATAATCATGATAATCATGATAATCATGATAATCATGATAATAATGATAATAATGGTAATAATGATAATAATGATAACACTGATAATAATGATAACAATGATAACAATTAAAAAAAAATAATAATAATAATAATAATAATAACAGTGAAAATAATGATAAAATGATAATAATGATAACATAATAATAATAATAAATAAAGAAATGAAAAACTGGTGAACCCCAAATCAACAGTCTCCTTTGAGGTCCTTCTCCGGAAATAAGAACCCAGTATAGCTGGGGTTTAGGGTTTGGGGCATTTGGCTTCGGGCAGTTTAGGGTTTAGGGTTTAGGATTTGGGGTTTAGGGTTTAGGGTTTAGGGTTTAGGATTTAGCCTTCAAAGCCGGAAACCACACAGACCCCAAACTCTGCATTTTGCCCTCCGAGAGTCTGGATGGGCTTCGCGGGCGAGACGGAGATAGGCCTGGCGAAAGAGGTTGGGAAGGCGGCAGCGGTGCAGGGTTTAGGGTTTCGGGTCAAGGGTTTAGGGTTTTTTAGGGTTACCCTCAACCCTAAATCCTACACCCTAAACCCGAAACCCTTAACCCTAAACCCTGAAACCAAAACCCTAAACCCTTCAGAAGTTGAGGCATGGCGGTTCACACCCGCGGCTTGGGCGGTGATCGTGTGCTGGCCTGAAATCTGTACTCTACCGCCCACTACTACAGGGTGGGGCCCCCTAGTTATAAGTAGAGTTCTAAGGGCCCTAAATTGGGTTATAAGGACCCTAAGTTAGGTTATAAGTCCCTTAACTACAGTTAGTATAGTAAGGGGGCCCCACCCTGTACAGGGGTATTTAGGAGTTTCTTGGTTTAGGGTTAGGGTTTAGGGCTTAGGGCTTAGGGTTTAGGGTTTAGGGTCTAGGGTGTAGGGTCTAGGGTCTAGGGTCTAGGGTTTGGGGTTTAGGGTTTCGTAGTAGCCCAGTAACCATCTTAAAATAAGTGTGCCCTTTTTTGGGGGTTGGTTACTTTACAAGGGAGAAAACAGGTAAAGGGCACCACTGGGCTACCAAGCCTAAGAACCTCCCCAAACAAAAAAAGAAAAACACAAAACAAACTTAATGACTATACATATATATATATATATATATACACATGTACATATGTATATATACTTCCTTATGAGGGCAATGCAGGGCAATGCACGGATGTTATTCTGCATTTCTTGGTGGGTTCGTAAGTGAATAGTAGCCCATTCATTGCACTGCTTGCGCTGGGATCAGGGCAAGAATCATAAATCTTGCTTGCCACGTACACGTCGCAAGACTGGTTTGGGGTTTAGGGCTCAGGGTCAAAGACGCCCAAGGAAGGGGACAAGAAGTACTGCTGCCAGAAGTGCCAGGCCAGTGTGTATCAGAATCGTCCACTCAAGTCCCCAGGACTCAATCGCAGTCGGCATCCACTGCTCTGGGAATGACCCAAAGAAGTTTGAGGCACTCGCCAGCACAGAGATGATTGAACCAGCAATCAAAGGGTGCCCTGCCCCAAAGATGTTGATGATGGCAACCTCGAGGACAAAAACCGCGTCCTCCACCAACTTTCGCACAAAATGCAAGCCCACGAACACCCAGTACAATCTGCCCGTTTCAAGCGCATCGTGCGGGGAAGCCTGACAAGAGCCCAAATGCCAAATGGATGCCAAGTTCAGGATCGCAAGCCCGATGTAAAGCAGTCGGAGGCGGCGGGCTGGCCAGCCAGTCGTTCCTCGGGGTTTTAGGGTTTAGGGTTTAGGGTTTAGGGTTTAGGGTTTAGGGTTTAGGGTTACATAAACATAAGGATCCTACTCTTGGGGTCTGAGGGCCCCTAGATAAGGCGGATTCTGGGAAACCGTGTTTGTAGGCTCCTTAGGTTTACGTGTTTTTTGTTCGGCCCCTGGCTCCAGCAAGCCAAGCTGTGCAGAACGAGACAGGCATCGCCCAGATGTTGTACAGCGCAGTCTTCTCCGGAGTGAGGCCCAGCGCGTCGTAGCGCTGTCGTTGAAAGTCCACGTGGCCACCCATCAACTTCAGCAGCAGTTGCAGCCACAGGTAGTGCTGCATTCTGGCATCCTGCCACAAAACTCCGAGAAGTTGGCGCATGACGCCAGGCCCCTGTGTGGAAGCAGGAGCTGCGTGTCCAGGAGTTCGCAAGAACAAGCCGCCGGCGATGGCCAAGGACAGCATGCCCGTGCCCTTGAAGACGGTGGAGAGAAGCTCCATGCTCGCGGGATCCTTGAGGTGAAAGAACACCTCACTGGCAAAAAGAATGCCCAGCTCAAGGCCGACACTTTGGCACAAGGAGGCGTGGTCGGGCCTCAGCCTCTGTACCCCCCAGCCATCCATGAGAATGTCGGCCAAAGCTGTTAGGGCCGCGAGTGTCCCAATCAGCGGCACGAGGGACCAGATGGCAGGGGGCTGCAGCATCAGCATGTCCACCATACTGCTGGAAGACCTAGGCTTCTCAGCAACCTAGGAGATAAAAGGGTGCAATGTTTTGCTTGATTTCTGTAGGTCTGCTCTACTCGGGATTCAGGTCCAGCAAGAGAGAAGACGGGCCGTCGGCGTCCGAGACACGCGAGCAGGGCACAACCCGACACAAAGAGAAGAGCCACCAACTTCGACTCACGGGAGTGAAATTGTCGCACCGGCCCTTTGCACTCAACGACAAAGCAAAGAAGCCACTTGATCTGGAAAGGGATCTCGGAGTAGTTGAGGATCCTCTCATTGTCGTCACTTTGTCCATTGCTGACCGCCCAGGGATTCTTCCTCAACAAAGCGGGCACGGTCTCGAAGGCAATGCCCTGCATACATCCCTCCCAGATGTACAACGACAACAGAAGCAATGTGTCCAGCATGGCTGTGCGTGTGGACCTACAAACTCACAATGTGGAGCAGCAGCTGCAGCGAGCTTGGATGGAGCCCCGAACCTGAACCTTTAACCCTGTGCTGTGAAGCCTAAGCCTCTAGACCCCAAGCCCTAAACCCTAAACCCTAAACCCTAAACCCCAAACCCTAAACCCTAAACCCTAAACCCTAAACCCTCACTACCCCTGTAAGCCCTGAAGCCTCTGAGCCCTCGAAGCCCTAATCTCGACGAACCCTGTACACTTTTGCTCCGAGGGCTCTCCTGGGGCTCAAGAAAACTTAGGGTTCAGGGTTAGAGGTTTAGGGTTTAGGGTTTAGGGTTTAGGGTTTAGGGTTTAGGGTTTAGGGTTTAGGGTTTAGGGTTTAGGGTTTAGGGTTTAGGGTTTAGGGTTTAGGGTTCCGGATTTAGGATCCACAGGGCCTAAGTAGGGGCCTGTAGGGCTTAATAACGGTCCCATCCCGGAGGCCTGCCGAATTGTGTGAAGGTCGCAGTCCTAGTCTTCAGGAAGAGATGGGCTTGGGAATTGAGGGTTTAGGGTTTAAGGTTAAAGATGGGCTTGGGGATGTAGGAGTTGCCTAGACAGAGCTCGTCGCTCTTTATAGGGAATTGGGGGAATCCCCCCTATGGGGAGGGGGGGGGGGGTGGGGTGTTGTGCTTGCAGGGACTAAAGGAAAATTAAAGGGACCATGCGAGTTCTGGCAAGGGTCCGAAACCCTAGAACCCCAAAAACCCTTACCCCCTCCCCTAAACCCTAAACCCCTAAACAAACTACGAAGCCCCAAAACCCTGACATCTATTGGATGCATGACCAAGCCTCCTGGAGGCCCAGTTTCAGACCTCGAAGGATGAGTTTCAAGGCTTTAGAGTTTAGGGTTAGGGTTTAGGGTTTAGGGTTTAGGGCTTAGGGTTTAGGGTTTAGGGTTTAAGGTTTAGGGTTTAGGGATGGCTGAGCTTCAAAGTTCACGATTTCGATGCCTCGATAGAGAATAGGGAATATTCATGGGACCTGAAAAAGACAACTAGTCGAGTCGGCCATGGTCCGTGGCCTCGGGGGGCTAGGGGCGGAGGGGGATTTCATTTCGGTTCACACCAAACTTGGCTGCACTTATAGGAGGGTAGTAAAAAAATTGAACTTTTAGCTGCCTTATTAAGAAACCCAAGAAACCCAACAAGGCTAAGGATCCAAAGTTACAGTAAAGCACCACAAAGGGTACATGACCCCAATTTTGGAGTTTGTTTGGGAACAAGGTTAAGGATCCAAAGTTACAGTAAAGCACCACAAAGCAAAGATCCGGGCCCCCGGGCAGCTCGCGGCGCGCGCCGCGCCGCACTCCTCGCGTAGCCAGGCAGCCAAGGCGAAGTGCCCAGCCTTGGAAGCGCCAATTTAAGCCGTTTTCCAAAAATTAAGGCATCCCCCTAGTTAAGGGAAGGGTTTAGGGTTTAGGGTTTAGGGTTTAGGGTTTAGGGTTTAGGGTTTAGGGTTTAGGGTTTAGGGTTTAGGGTTTAGGGTTTAGGGTTTAGGGTTTAGGGTTTATGGTTTAGTGTTTAGGGTTTAGGGTTTAGGGTTTAGGGTTTAGGGTTTAGGGTTTAGGGTTTAGGGTTTAGGGTTTAGGGTTTAGGGTTTAGGGTTTAGGGATTCGGGATTCGGGCTTCGGGTTTAGAGTTTAGGGTTTGTAACCCTAAACCCTAAAGTTTAGGGTATAAGCAATGAGAATTGAGGAGGGCATCCAGTGGGGCTTCATGAAGTAGATCAAGGTACCTGTACACCCGGGGCTAACAACTTGGAACATGGGGTACCACGGCATAACAGGTGGGGTCCTAGACGTAGCGTCCTTGAGGGTCTACGGGTGCGCACGCTAAGTTGGTTCAGGCGTTGCACCCAGTACGCCCCCCAAGTTGAAAGCCACAGAACAGGCGCCATAATGCTTGCGGAGTCTACTCTTAAAGCTGTATCTAAGCCACCCTAACCCAAAACCCAAAACCCAAAACCCAAAACCCGAAACCCAAAACCCAAAACCCAAAAACCGAAACCCCAATCACTCCAGAACATCTTTTTCTCTTTCGCATTGCTAAGAGATGTCCACCTCTTGCCCGACCTCCAGCGTCCTTTCGGAGGGTGGCGCGCCCTCCGCCAAGATGGGCCGGTAGTACCTTTCAGAGGATCCGTTCATTAGGGGCAGTTTAGGGTTTAGGGTTTAGGGTTTAGGGGTTAGGGTTTAGGGTTTAGGGTTTACAGTTTAGAAGGTTTTGCTAGGGTGGCAGGGTTTAGGATTTGCTTGGGAGTACTGTGCCACCAAAAAAGTATTCCCAAACCAGACGACAAAGGTTACGGGCCCTGAATCCTAAACCGACATGTCAGAAGTGCTAGGCGTGGCCAAGCTCCGGTACAGCTCAGAGAGAGCGCAACTTAATAAAGTTCACATGATATATGTATATACACATAGAAATAAATAAATAAGTATATATATATATATATATATTTCTTTATTGTTATTATTGTTATTTATTTATCCATTTATTCATTTATTCAAAACTATACACGTACGTATTCATTGGCTGGCAGATTCAGCGGTGAACGAAAAGCTGCTTGTCGCTTGAGGATCTTTGAATACAGAAACCGTTGGATTCTACACGCTGCTAGGATACAGCTGTCCTTGGCATATGCAATCTCAGCGTATTGAGTGCCACTGCCACTCCAGTCCTATTTACGTCCAGGAGCTGTCGAGGTTATATGAGGGCTTCTGGTCATGGGCTTGAGGATATCAGGGCTTTTTTCTGGTGAATGAGGGCTTATCGCAAGCTTACCGGGCTTATGTGAGCTTGTATTGCTGATAGGGTGGCAGCACGTAAGCCACCTGAAGTGGTGGGGCACTGGCCAAACACGGCTTGACCCCGGTGCTGCACCAGTGCGCCGTACACGGCGTTGTCGCCTGGCCGTGTCTTCATGGGTTCCCCTACTACCCCCCGCCCCCCCCCCCCCCCCCCCCCCCCCCCCCCCCCCCCTGCTTCCCCACATTCATTAATCAGGGCTGTTTAGGGATGACTAGGCCTAGTTAGGGTTATTTAAGGGGGGAACCTGGGGGGGGGGGGGTCACCCTGAACCCGAAACCCTGAACCCTCTAGGCGGAGGATACCGAGGTTTCCGTAGACCCGACCGCCCGGGCTGGCTCAGGGTTTAGGGTTGAGATAAGATACCCTAGGGCAACAAGGCCGAATCCTCAAACCCTAAACCCAAACCCCGTAAACTCTAAACCCTGTAAACTTTATCCTTAAACCTGAATACTCCCAATCCCCAAACCTTATAGTCTATAGTCCCTAACCCCAAGCCCCAAGCCCCAAGCCCCAAGCCCTAAGCCCTAAGCCCGAAGCCCGAAGCCCTACGCCCTAAACCCTAAACCCTAAACCCTGAACCCTGAACCCTGAACCCTGAACCCTGACCCTTCTTGGGCGCCAGGCGCTTTCCCTGGCCCTGTGCCACATCGACGATGGCACAGCGCGCGCAAGGGCCCAGACGTTGGAGACGTAATGGGCCTCGAAATGGGAGTGCAAGATTTGCGGTTTAGGGTTTAGGGTTTAGGGTTTAGGGTTTAGGGTTTCGGGTTTAGTGTTTAGGGTTTAGGGTTTAAAGTTTAGAGTTTAGAGTCTTTTTTTTGCTGGACTCGCTCCCTGCTGGTAGTTCGGGGCCCAGCAAGTGCAACACCACCTTGACGTCCACCCCAAGCGTCTTCACGACCACCCTCTCAGTCACATTAAACCCTGAAACCTAAACCCTAAGCCTTAAACCCTAACACCTAAACCCTAAACCCTAAACCTAATTCCATCCACCTGGCTCCACTGAGGTTCACCTCCACCGTGCCCACCTCCTCTACCCATGGAACATGCCGAAGGCGAAGAAGACGCTGAAGCACCATCCACCCCACCACCGGTTTAGGGGCTTACAGGGTTTAGGTTGGGATGTTGCCCCTTCTACTAACAGTCCTTAAAAAGGAATATAGTATATGCCCCCCAATGGATCTTAGAATCCTGTTAGTATGACGTAGGGTTTAGGGTTTAGGGTTTAGGGTTTAGGGTTTAGGGTTTGGGGTTTAGGGTTTAGGGTTTCGGGTTTCGGGTTTAAGCAAGGCTTGGGTTTCTAGAGGGCTTGGGCTTCGGGGATGTGGTGGCCTCCCGGGGTCCAAGAGAATGTGTGGAGCTGACGAAGCAGATGGTTTCCGGCTGACTTTTCAGCTGCTCAACTTCTTTAGGGCTTAGGGCTTAGGGCTTAGGGCTTAGGGTTTAGGGTTTAGGGTTTAGGGTTTAGGGCTTAGGGCTTAGGGTTTAGGGTTTAGGGTTTAGGGGGCGAAGGTTCCCTACCTGCCCACTCGAAGGCTACAGAGTAACATTCGAAGCTCAGATCCCCTGCTGAGATCCACAAAACCCTTAGCACGCCTGAAAGCATGCGAGCGATAGAGCAGCAGCATCTCGATTCTAAGGGTTTAGGGTAGTTTCATGGGCCCTTAGCTAGGCCCTTCAAAGGGTACTCCTTAAAGGAGGTACGGGACCATGTTAAGGGCCCATGAAACTACCCTTAGACGATAATGTAGGGGCCGCAAGAATTGGAATAGGGTTTCGGGGGTTATTATAGCGTCCTCATAAGGAGACCATAAGTCAGTGGACCCCGTGGGTTCATAATCCTGGCAAAACTTCAGCCCTTGAACTTTCATCGTACTAGAAAAATGGACCCTCTGCGTGAAGGCAAAATTGGGGTACCCTATTGGGGTCCTGACTATAGGGGAATCCTACTATTTAGGGCGTCTATTTTCGTAAACCCCCAGCCCTAAGCAAAACCCTAGAGCCCTGAAATCCCAAACCGGCAGCTTCTTCGAGGCAGTCCGAAGGACCGCATGTGGCTTAGTGTTGGGGTTTAGGGTTTACGTGCCCTAAACCCGACGTTCGCGTGACCGTCACCAAGCTCGGGCTGCTGCCGATGCGCATCTCATCCCAGGTGTCCTACCCAGATGTTAGGGATGTTTTTTTTTGTTGTTTGTTTGTTTTTTTTTTTTTTTTTGTGGGGGGGGGGGGGCTTGAGGTTTAGGGTTTAGGGAGAATAGCTGATTTCGTGAGTCTTCCTTGAGATCATCTTTGGGGGGTTCTCTTTGAAGATCGGGGTGACAACTTCCGCTACACACATCTGTGTCAGACAAGTCATCCGCCGAACATCTGCTTGAACCCCCAAAGATCCCACAACGATGGACGAAAAAGCACAACACACCCTCGCCCCTGGCAGAACAACCGAACAACACATCGTTTGTTAATGGGTGAAATGTAGAGGTCTGGATGCTTCAGGCATTCGCTGCCGTGGACGCACCGGCACTCATTCAGCCTGCAAAAACCTCAACCCTCAAGCCTCAACCCTCTTTCGGACTAAGCTTGGGGATTTCGGGCTCCAGCATTGTCGAAACCCTGGCACCAGCTTGCGCTTATCTTAGCTCCCTACAGTGTGGGGGTGTCAAATAGGATTTATTGAAAGAGAACAGTTTTAGGCAGCAAGCAACCGCCCCCCAAGCCTCCGCGTGGGGCTCCATGGGGCCTTCCACAATCACGTTCGGCCGAAAGCGGTCCTGAGATTTCGGCTTAGGGGGGTTTCAGGGATTGGGGTTTAGGGTTTGGGGTTTGGGGGTTGAGGGTTAGGGCCCAGGGTTTAGGCGGTTGAATTAGGAGGATAGAGGGCTTTGGGTTTAGAGGCCTATAGTTCTTTGTTTATGTTCGGGGTTTTCATGTTTTCGAGGTTTTAGAGTTTGGTTTGGAGCTTAGGGGTTGGGTTTTAGGGCTTGACGGCCTTGTGGGTGTTTAGGGTTTAGGGTGTAGGGTTTAGGGTTTAGGGTTAATGTTCCAAAAACTGAGAACTGCAAACCCGATGATGGGACGTTTGAAGCATTTTAAGGGCCGATGCTCAAGGGAGACAGCTAATCAACGGGGACCCCTTATATACCCCTCATATACCCTGTGCAAAGTAAGGGCCCCTACATCAGAACCTTTGAAGGGAGGGGGCCCTGCAACTACCCTAAGATACTCGTGATTTAACATGGCTCTTGTATGCCGTTAGAGGATCTTTCAACCAGGCCCCAAATTCAAGGCCAGGGGTTTAGGGGTTGAACTAATAAGGTGGGGGGGGGGGGGGGGGGGGGGGGGGTTAGGAGTTTGGGCGCTGAGATGGCGGACTTGGATTGCTTCGATGTTGGGGCTCAGGGTTTAAGGTTTCAAGGTTTGGGGGGGACATTCGGGGGCGGGGGGGGACATTGGGTGTGCAGGCTTCGGGCCTCGGGGTTTCACAAAGTTCTTGCCTGCTAAAGGTTGCGCCCCTCCAGAAGCAACTCTATAGAACCAATCTCGGCTCAGATCTTCAGAGTTTGTGGTTCAAGGTTTAGGGTTTAGGGTTTAGGGTTTAGGGTTTGGGGTTTGGGGTGTAGGCGAACACAGCGGGGAGGTTTATGTGAAATTGGCGGTGCCACGGGAATGTCCGAAAAGATATGCTACTTCAATCTCTCCGGAGAGCTGTCCTGGCGCCAGGGTTCGGCTTCCAGCAAGCTTACAATCTCGACGTGGCCCGCGGAAGATGCCAACATGAGAGCGGTCGCACCGGACATGCGTTGCAAGTTTTGGTTGGCACCAGCCTCCAGCAGCAAGCGTACAATCTCGACGTGGCCCTGAGAAGATGCACGCATCAGAGCGGTGTCGCAGGACCTGTTCTGCAAGTCTTTGTCGGCACCAGACTTCAGCAGCAAGCGTACAATTTCAACGTTGCCCTTGGCAGATGCTAGCGTGAGAGCGGTGTCGCCGCGGTCGTCCTGCAAGTTCTTGTCGGCACCAGCATCCAGCAGCAAAAGTACGATCTCGACGCGGCCCTCATAAGACGCGTGCATGAGGGGTGTCACGCCGAATCCGCCCTGCAAGTTCGTGTCGGCATCAGCATCCAGCAGCAAGCGTACAACTTCGACGTGCCTCGAGAAGAGCATAAGAGCGCCCGCACCATGTCTGTCCTGCAAGTTCTTGCCGACACCAGCCGCCAGGAGAGCACGGCCCACTTCAGCGTGGCCGGTGCTGCCAACATATTGAGCAAACTCGCGTTGGGCCTGAGGCAACTGCTCCGGCCTGAGGCTGGAAAACAGCACCAGCTGCAGGTCAACGGGCCCAACTAGACAAGCACCATCCTCTAAGCAGCGGCCTGCATGTAAGAGTTGTTGAAGGCTAACAGGGAAGCCATGCCGGCTGCGCAAATGGCATTTCAAGTCGAAGACGTCTTTGAACATGTCGCCCTCGGGCACTGCGGCCAGCTCTTGCCCGGAAACGCTCCAGATGCGAAGCATGGCATGGAGAGGGTGCTCCAGCTATTCAGACCTGCCTACTTGTAGCCAAGAATCGCAAAGCTGAAGCCCTAAACCCTAAACCCTAAACCCTAAACCCTAAACCCTAAACCCTAAACCCTAAACCCTAAACCCTAAACCCTAAACCCTAAACCCTAAACCCTAGACCGTCCAGTTATTCACTTCGGGCCTCCTCACCCAAGAAGCTAATCAGGCAACTCACGGGCACTGAAAATTTCATCTGGGGGTTTCCGAAACTAGGGGTGTACCTTAACGGGCTCCTTGTTATCAAGGAACCCTACTATTTCGGATTATATTAGGGGGTCCCTTATATGACCCTGCGACTATTTTCTGAGCATTCAATGGATTGAAGTTTTCCAACAGTCAGTCACCACTTTACGATCAAGGCTTTCAACCCCTAAACCCTAAACCCTGAAACCCTAAACTACCCTAAACCCTAAACCCTTAAACCCTAAACCCGAAGCCCGAGACTCCGCATCCTAATCGCTTGTGGGGGGGAGCGGGATGAGGGGGCGATGCTTCAAGGCACAACTGACATGCCAAGCAAGGCTTGGGGTTAGGGCTTGGGTTTAGGGTTTAGGGTTTGGGGTTTAGGTTTTAGGGTTTGAGTATAGGGTTTAGGTCTTTAGGGTTAGGGTTTAGGGATTAGGGCTTAGGGCTTATTTAAGATTCAGAAATTTAGGGGTTTAGAGGTTTAAGGTTTAGGATTCCAGGAGCCGAAACTCCAATCCCTAAGCCGAGCAAAGCTTCCGCGGGTATTTCTTTGCCCGTGCCTTCGGCCAAGGCCTGGAGTGATGCTGTGGACCTTCAGACGAGAGGGTTGCTGGGTTGGGGTTTAGGGTTTAGGGCTTAGGGTTTAGGGTTTAGGGTTGAGGGTTTAAGGTTTAGGGGTTAAAAGAATAGAGACGAACAGAAGGCCCAGAATTTTAGGGGCATTATTGACAGTCTGCTCCCTGGTCCAAGAATCAGCATGGCAAATGCAAAGCCTAAATCTTAAGAAACCCTAAACCCTAAACCCTAAACCCTAAACCCTAACCCTAAACCCTAAACCCTAAACCCTAAATCCAGCTGTACGGGCGTATCTACAAATCTCTCCTGTACGGGCGTATGCAGGGCTGTTCACGGACGTGAGGCCTCCATGCAGATCTCCCAATTGGGGCTTTACGAAAATAAGGGACCCAAATATAGACCCCCCAAAGAGTAGGATCCGCATATCATAAGGACCCCAATAAGCTACCCCGAATAGGGGCTGATGCCATGGACTGTTTTTGGTACCTAAAAGAGTTAGGAAGAGATTGTAAGCTGACGAATCCTCAAGTAACCCTAAAACTATACTTGCTCAATGGCTCTTAAGTCTGAATGAATACTACAAACGGCTTCTTCGGCAAAGGATTCAGGGTCTTGGGTTCTAAAGTTTGCGTGCGCAGCTTTCCCTGCGGCGGGCCTAGTAGGTCAAGCTGGGTAATAGGGAAATAACTAGGATTACCTGAACTAGATATACCCTTAATTCGGGGCAAATATGTACCAAATATCCCTACTGATAAGCCCAATCCTGGCGTTTCTAACCCTACTTTCCTACTTGCAACGATGAAACTCCGGCCGGGCGACACAACCAACAGCGGCGCGATGTCGGCCCTGAAGGGAGACTTGGAGAGGGCCATTTAAGGGCCTACTTGAAGGTTCGTAGATACTTATAATAAACAAGGTTATGAGTAATTGCCCTACTCAGGGCTGACTTGGGTACTTATAAGCTATAAAACAGGGTTATAGGTACCCTAAGTAAGGTTGTAGCCATAGTTCTCCTACTTTGAAGCTCCAAGTAGGGCGGATGTATTGTACGTAGAGTTGTTGGTGTACATACCTCCAAGTGACACAGGTTACAACTACCTGCAAGTCAGCTTCTATTCGTGCCCTACTACCCATCAACCTCCCAGTGGCCCGGGGAAGGGCAGATCAAGCTGAAAGACCTTTGGGTCTGAACTTATGCGTTTGTGCAAGAGAGGCTTCAGCTAGGGTTTCAGCGCTTTCGGGCGCAGGGTGCAATTATTTGTGCAAGCATAGTGCGAGAGTCACCCGAAACCCCGAACCTTAAACCCTCAACCCTAAACCCCCTAAACCCTAAACCCTAAACCCTAAAACCTAAACCCTAAACGCTAAACCCTAAACCCTAAACCCTAAGTTTGGAGGTTCAGGGTCCGACCGGCCGGGTCCTGTTCAGACTCACTGAAACGAATCCTGGGCCGCAAGGCACGCTCCTTGAAAAGGGCTTAGGGTTTAGGGTTTAGGGTTTAGGGTTTAGGGTTTAGGGTTTAAGGCTTATAGGGTTCGAACATTCACCTGGGGCTGGAGCCAGTGTGCACCCGCCGCGGTGCGCTTGCCTTAGAATGGCAGGAGGAGGTATGCTGGGCCAGCCGTCGCTACAATGCCAGTCGGATGCATGGGAGCCTCAAGAGTCTGCGTCACTTTTGGCCCACTTCGGGTTTACGGGGCCCTAAACCCTAAACCCTAAACCCAAAATCCTAATCCCTAAACCCTAAACCCGAAACCCTAAACCCTAAACCCTAAACCCTAAACCCTAGCCCTAAACCCTAAACCCTAAACCCTAAACCCCTAACCGAGGCACAGCCGGCGAAGCGCCGCAGAAGGCGGCAGGGCCGGCCAAGGGCCCCGGAGAGCCAGGCGGCCGCCTCAGGGCCTGGTTTTAGGGTTCAGGGTTTGAGGTCTTTTTAGGGTTTCTAGGGTTTTTTGGGGTTTTAGGGTTTTCAGGGTTTGGGGTTTAGGGTTTGGGGTTGAGGGTTTAAGGTTTAGGGCTTGGGGTCTAGAGGGTTTGGGTTTTGGGGGTGTAGGGTGCAGTGCAGGGTGTAGGGTGTTTAGGGTGTAGGGTTTGGGGTTTGGAGAGTCTGGGGTTTAGGGGGTAGTGCAGGGTTTGGGGGGTTTAGGGCTTGGGGTTTAGGAAAATCGGAAGCCGAAACCGGGGATGCCATCATTGGAGACGAAACAAACCCTAAACCCTAAACCCTAAACCCTCAACCCTCAACCCTCAACCCTCAACCCTAAACCCTAAACCCTCCCGGCTCCCACCTTCCAAGGTCTCCCAAAGCGTGACAAAACCACCCGGATGCCAAAATCGGCGCTGAAACCGCCACCCCCCGCCTTAGGGTTTAGGGTGTAGGGTGTAGGGTTTAGGGTTTAGGGCCCCCCCCCCCTCCTTCTAAGGCCTCCAAAGCCTCCCAAGGCCCTCAAGGGCCCTAACGGTCCCTAGCCGTGGCGGCATTGCTTTACCTCTGGGTGCGTCTGAAAAGAACACAAACCCTAAACCCTAAACCCTAAACCCTAAACCCTAAACCCTAAACCCTAAACCCTAAACCCTAAACCCTAAACCCTAAACTTTTCTATGTTCGTAATGTCACGGGGTTCTTTGGGCGGGTTTTCCAACGCCCGACATGCTGCTTGACTAGTGAGTGCTTGGACCCTAAACCCTAAACCCTAAACCCTAGACCCTAAACCCTCAACCCTAGACCCTAAACCCTAAACCCTAAACCCACCTTGGTCGATGCCCGCCACATTGTCCCCAAACAGGCGCGCAGTCGAATCTGGAGCTTGCAGAGTCGGGCCTTGGTCACCTCGGCCGTTCTGCAAGGTTTAGGGTTTAGGGCTTAGGGCTTAGGGTTTAGGGTTTCGGGCTAGGGTTTAGGGTTTAGGGCTTAGGGCTTAGGGCTTAGGGCTTAGGGCTTAGGGCTTAGGGTTAGGGTTTAGGGTTTAGGGTTTAGGGTTTAGGGTTTAGGGTTTAGGGTTTAGGGTTTAGGGTTTAGGGTTTAGGGTTTAGCGTTTAGGGTTTAGGGTTTAGGGTTTAGGGTTTAGGGTTTAGGGTTTAGGGTTTAGGGTTAGGGTTCAGGGTTTTGGGCTTAGGGTTTTAGGGTTTAGGGTTTGGGGCTCCCTTACCGTGGTCCCTTACCTTCTTTATCGGGTTCGGAAGCATGGGCCCTTGGGTTTAGAAAGTATATTACGAGGTATATAAGGGTCCCACGTTAAGGGCCCACATGAAGGGACCATGTAACGACCCTAAGGTGGCTCAAGGTTTAGGGCTAGGGGCTTAAGAGATTAGGGTGTAGGGGCTGAGGGTGTGGGACCATGGGATCAGGGTTTCAGAGGTTGGGATCTTGGGTTCACGGCTTCCGGTCTGGGGCTTTGGGCGTTGGGCGTTGGGCGTTGGGCGTTGGGCGGGGCTTTGGGCGTTGGGCGTTGGGCGTTGGGCGTTGGGCGTTGGGCGTTGGGCGTTGGGCGTTGGGCGTTGGGCGTTGGGCGTTGGGCTTTGGGCTTTGGGCTTTGGGCTTTGGGCTTTGGGCTTTGGGCTTTGGGCTTTGGGCTTTGGGCTTTGGGCTTTGGGCTTTGGGGCTTGGGGTTCAGGGTTTAGGGCGACTTCGCTGGCCCTCAGCTGGGCTTTGAAAGATGGCGCGCGGCACAAACCTCCTTCTCGGTTAGGCTGAGTAGTTACCCTAAACTCTAAATCTCGAACCCTAAACCCTTTCCCCGGACCCTAAACCCTAACCCAAAACCCTAAACCATGAACCCCTATTCCTAGAGCGCAGACAGCCATGAGCCGTTAAAAGTTCATGTCGTCCCCAAGGGTGGCACAGTGCAGGCAAGATGCCAACAGAGACCTGGCCAGTCTGAGGTTGAGGTTCTAGGCTCCTTCAGGGAGAGGTGTTCAAAGGGAATATGTAACCTAACCCTCCCCCCCCCCCAAGGCCTCTTTCAGCTTCCCTAAGTTGAGGGGCCTTTGGGTTCAGGGTTTAGGGTTGAGGGTTGAGGGCTTAAGGTCTCCTCCGCCCCTCCCCTCCCCAAGGAAAAATGTGCCGCATGGTGTGTGCAGCAGCCGCTTCGCGGCACCGCTGCGCTGTAGAGTTTAGGGTCTTAAAACCCTAAACCCTAAACCCTAAACCCTGAACCCTGAACCCTGAACCCTGAACCCTGAACCCTGAACCCTGAACCCTGAACCCTGAACCCTGAACCCGAAACCCGAAACCCTAAACCCTAACCCTAAACCCTAAACCCTAAACCCGAAACCCTAAAGGCCCTAAACCCCAAACCCTAAAACCCTCAACCTTTATAGGGTTTAAAGGCTGTCGGTTTGGGGCTTAGGGCTTTCGAGTTGGGAAGGCCGGCCTCTATGATGTCTCTGCTGCCATCCACGGCGGCCATCTGCGGGAACAATGATGTTTAGGGTTTAGGGTTTAGGGTTTAGGGTTTAGGGTTTAGGGTTTAGGGTTTAGGGTTTAGGGTTTAGGGTTTAGGGTTTAGGGTTTAGGGTGCTAACTCCAAGGCTCAAAATAGCCCCAAAACCTTATAAAAAACAGGGCCTTTGGGCCCAACAACCCTTACACAAGCGCCCTTGGAGCCTCAGGGTAAGGGTCCACGTACCTCATTATTATCTACTTGAGTTTCGAAGCCCCTAACTGGGAGGCACGTTCGGGCCCAAGTCTTCCCTATTTAGGTACATTGGACCCTTGGGAACCTAACTTTTTTTGTAGGATAGCCAGGAACCCTTTAAGGGTTCGAAATCCTAAGCCTTAAGCCCTAAACCTTCTCTACCTACGAATATTTAAGCCTTCATGAAACGCTGTGGTTTCGGGGTTTTTTAGAGGAGTCCTCAAGGCCCCCGGCCAGGATCCCACACGGCTTGCCATTTCGGCCTCTCTTTCCCCCCCTAATCTTTTTTTGGGTAGTTGCATGGTCCTTAAAAAATGGGCCCTGAATTTGGGAACCCTTTTGGTCCGCATACATGCCCTGTCAATCCCCAGGACCTGTACTTCAAAACCCTTGAAAGAAGGGAAGGGCACCGTATTCAGGCGACATGCAAAGTCCCTTGGATACACCAAGTCTTAAGTCTCGAAGGCCTGCAGCCTTGATCCTGAATCTTAAAGCCTATAGCCGGTTTAGGGTTTAGGGTTCCGGGTTTAGGGTTGACAGTTTAGGGACTATAACCTCTAAACCGCAGACCCCCGAAAGCCCTAAACCCTGTACCCTAAGCTTTTCAGCTCCAGACCCTATACTTGCCCCTTGAGTCTATGTCAAAAAGAAGTGAATACTTCTTTTCTAGTTTTTTGGGTTTAGTGTCACTTTGGTTTAGGGCGTAGGGCTTAGGTTACGCGAGCTGTGGGGACGCCCTTTCTCGCTCGCGTTAGGTTTTCGGGTTTTTTAGAGAGTTTATGGTTTTTATAGTTTTAGGGTTTTTAGTAGGGTTTTTAGGGTTTAGGGCTTAGGGACGGCGACTCTACGTGGTGTCTGAGAAAAAACAAAAAAAGTCCCCCCCTTGTTTCTGGCTGGTTGTTTAAGGCCGGGGGTCCCTCCCCCCCCCCCCCCCAATGCTACATTCGCAGCCCTGGGGCAACTTTTCTTTTTGGGCAGGAGCTCAGAGCGAAACCGTAGCCAAGGGAGCGGTAGACAGCCCTGATCGTGGTTTGGCGATGAGGAAGAAGAGGCTTGCAAAGAAGGGAGTGCGTGGCAGAGTGGTCTCCTGGCGGGGCTGTCTGACTGTGCTCACGAAGCCATTTGGCAGCAACTGGGCTGCCACACCTAGTGGGTTTAGCTTCGTACCAACCGGACAGCTTGCTTTCCACACTTTGGCTCACTTCATCGGGGACTTGGAGGGCGGCCTCGCGGCCTCGCTCGGGGTCTGTATAGGGCCTATGTGCCATGGACCTTTAGGAATGTGAGTCCGTGTCGTGTTGCGGGTGGCTTAAGGTTCAGGGCTCAGGAGAACTTGAACCCTCAGACTGTGAAGCCAATGAGGACTCGCTGAGGTTGACGGTGGGTGTAGGGCATAAGGTTCAGGGCTCAGGAGTCCCCAAAAGTTTGAAAGACTTAGCCCGCAGGGCCGCGCCGGGACCAGCTCTTTTTCGTCTGGGCCGGTCGAACTTGAACCCTCAGACTCAATGAGGACTCGCTGAGGTTGACGGAGGGTGTGAGGCTTAAGCTTTAGGGCTCAGGAGTCCCCAAAAGTTTGAAAGACTTGGCCCGCAGGGCCGCGTCCGGACCAGCCCTTTTTCGTCTGGACCTAAACCATAACCCCTTCTAAACCCAAATATAAAACCCTGAAACCTTAAACCCTAAACCCTTCTAGGCCCAAATAAATAAACCCTTAAACCCTAAATCCGAAGCCCTTCTAAACCCTTCTAAACCCAAATATAAAACCCTTAAACCCAAAACCCTTCTAAACCCAAAGAACAAGCCCTTAAACCCTAAACCCAAAGCCCTTCTACACCCAAATAAAACACCCTTAAACCCTAAACCCTTCTTAACCCAAATATTAAACCTTGAAAAACCTTAAACCTTAAACCCTGAACCCAAAACCCTTCTAAACCCAAATACAAAAGCCTAAACCCGAAACCCTTCTAAGCCCAAATATCAGATGTTTGTCGCAAAGCGTGTGTGGCGCGAGCTGGGCCAGAATGGCCAGTAGGATCCAAGCCTTCCAAAAAATTCCAGAATCTCACGGCCGCACCTGTCTCAGAATTGTACCAATGGAACACGGTTGCATCATGCCCTGGGTTCCGTGTTTCTGCCGAGACTCATAAGGTGTCGGATTTAGGCTTTAGGGATAGTCTCCTTGGGGAGTTTTTTTTGCGTCATGTCTTGTTCTGGTTTCTACAAAAAGAATCCAAAGAATGATAACAATACTCGTGAAATTCTTCATTCAGGTTCTACAGGGGCTATGGCAAACACTAGGGGTAGGCTTGGAATGGTTTGGTTGTTTTTTGATTCGGACCCCGAAACCCTGAACCCGAAATCCTTGCAGAGCTGCAAAAACCAACGTGGGGGGGGGGGGGGGGAGAAACCTATCTTCTCGGATGTAGCGCAAATGGCCCTCAAATCTGATTATATGGTTCCTGATTTTGGGGACATATACCAGAAGACTGGGAGACAAGATCAATGTTGATGCTTTCAAGATGCTGCTTTGGTTGCGTTGCCACTTATTTCCGGGGCCTTTCGAAAGCAGCAGCGTATTGCGCGTCTCGAACTCCTGAAAGAACATGCCTTAAACCCTAAACCCCTTCTAAACCCAAATAAAGGGTTTAGGGGAAGCCTCCAGCTGCTTCATCTGGGTCGTTGCCTTGTCGAAGAGTTCCTGGAAGGTCCTGCTTCGCGGGCCCCTTTCAAAAATCCTACAAACCCTAGAGAAACCAAAACCCGACAAAATGTTAGGAGGGCTTGGGGCTTTAGGGTTTAGGATTTGGGGTTTAGGGTGGCATGCACAAAGGCACGTCCCTCTGCCTGCTTGGGCTTGCCCTCAAACCCTCACAGATTTAGGGTTAAGGGTTTAGGGCTTAGGGTTTAGGATTTAGGGTTTATGGTCACAAAGCCTAGAATAGACCAGGGTCCTTGGCTTCTCAGCTGGACACAGCTGATGTCGCTGCGGCATTTGCAAGAAAAGAAGATTGCCGTGCCTACATCCAGTCATCATGCACGCACCCTTTCTCTGGTACGGGTATCCGTTTCTATTGGATACTGCAAAGCCACGCGCGCCATGGCGTCGCTTCCACCCACCCCAGGGCTTTGACGCACAACTTCGCGTTTTCACTTTTCGCGACGAATCTTGTACGTTTCTTGCTGTTACATGTCTTTTCACGACAACAAGTCCTCTATGTTAAGCTTGGCAAGACATAGAGGACGTGCACATTGGCTCAATGGCGGCTGGCTGATACACACATTCATGAATGCTTGTTTTGTGCCTCCTCTAAGGAACTGGTCCTTCGTTCGAGGCTGTGGGGCGTCCTGTGCTTCTTGCCTGTTTGAGATCGCGTGCTTGCTGGCTTTTTCAGCGCAGCATCCTGCACTCTTTCTTTTTGCACACGCCTTGCCTCCTGGACTGGCAACACCGCTTTGCGCTTGACTTTGCCCGCGTTGTCCAGCTCGTCGCACCACACCTTCCATTCGTGTTCCTACCACAGGACTTGCCTCGTGCTTCTGGCGAGGACTTCTTCATGGGACATTTGTCACACGCCGGCGTGGTAAAGAGCTCGATTGTGCGACAATAGCTTGCCTAGAGAAAGAATTTCGAGCTTCAGCTCCAGAGTGGCTTTGTGCAACTTCTGCGTCTCTTTGAACCACCGATTGACTTCGAAGTGCAGAGACTCATTAGACGTCGTGCCAACGGGGAACAAGGCTAACTTGAAATACCATTCGCACCTTTCTGGCGCCGCTGCAGGAGGAGTTGGCCGATGCGTCGGTTCGGGCCAGGACACATTCTGCTCATGTCCTGCCTGTCAACATTCGCCAGAGCAGCCAGCGCTTTGATCCATTCAATGCGAAGGTACCATGGCTTGTCGTAGTCCAGGCTGTCCATGATGCGCTTGGCCTCTTCCTCACGCATCGTCAGGTCCTCGACATGGGGTCACAGGCCGGCCCCCCCTCCTCCCCCCCGATTTTGAATTTCAAAGGTTTCAAAGGGCGTGGGAAACTCCCGGGAAGTTTACCAAACCCTTTGAAACCGGTGAAACCTTTGAAACCTTTGAAATCTTTGAAATAGAACCTCCCCCCCCCTCCCCCGATTTTAGAATTTCAAAGGTTTCAAAGATTCCAAGATTTCAAAGATTTCAAAGGTTTCAAAGGGCATGGGAAACTCCCGGGAAGTTTCCCAAACCCTTTGAAACCCTTTGAAACCTTTGAAATCTTTGAAATCGAAACGCCCCCTCCGTTTCCGATTCTAAATTTCAAAGGTCTCAAAGGTTTCAAAGATTTCACAGGTTTCAAAGGGCGTGGGAAACTCCCGGCCAGTTTCCCAAACCCTTTGAAACCTTTGAAACCTTTGGAATCTTTGAAATATAAACTCCCCCCCCTCCTCCCCCGAATTTAAATTTCAAAGGTTTTTTGAAATCTTTGAAACCTTTGAAATAGAAACTCCCCCCTCCTCCCCCGATTGTAAATTTCAAAGGTTTTTAGAAATCTTTCTAACCTTGAAATAGAAACTCCCCCCCTCCTCCCCCGATTTTAAATTTCAAAGGCTTCAAAGATTTCAACGGTTTCAAAGGGCGTGGGAAACTCGCGGGAAGTTTCCCAAACCCTTTGACTTGAAACCTTTGAAATCTTTGAAATAGAACCCCCCCCCCCCCTCCGATGACGGCACCTAGGGCCATATTTTGAGCCCCCCCTTTCAGAAAAAAGTCTAAAAGCGACCACTCAAGAGGCAAGTATAAGCCCGT